AAGTATAATTTTGAGAATTTTTTAAGGACTTGATGAGAAACAAGAGTTTGTGTATTCCTTCACAAGAAACAAATTGTGTAATTTTTAGTTTACTACTCTACTCTACTATCAACTATTTGGTAAATAGTTTTAAAAAAATATATAGTTTTTAGTTAAATTGTTAAAAAGGAAAAACACTTGATTTTTCATTTACTTTAAAAATAATGTTTTATACTTGAAATTTTGTCTATCTATTTGTAGTAAGTTGCATAAGTTATGTTATTTTTTCACGTTACTTAAAATTTATAAGTGCTGAATAATTTTTCTTTGGATAAAAAACTAAAGTTAGCGATTTCTTATAAATTTATTTATCAATATAATTTTCAATTACTCCCTATCTTTTTATCCCAATATCTAAATGATGCAAAAATATGATTTGCATGATTTGTATAGCAAAAAATTTCCAATTTCATTATATATAATTATTTTGTGAAAAATTTATTTTATCACAAGAATGACATCGTTTACAAAATATTATATTTTAAATGACATTAATTGAATGACAATAACTTGGCATGAAACATACTCTTATTAGTTTCATTTACATACTCTTATTAGTTTCATTTTTAGATTTAATTTTAGTTTAATTATAAAATAATTTCATCTATCTTCTTGTCTATTATCATTTTCTTACTCATTAAAATTGTTCAAGTTTCTTTTGTCCCTATTATCTTATTAACCTTATAATAATTATTAGTACTATCCATTCACCAATTCATATTTACAATTGGATTATCATTAGTCAATTAACAATCATATTTTAACATAATGTTTACAAAATGGGTAACAATATTAATAGTTTCTGAATTTTTAGTTGTTTTAGTTATTGAGTTACTTTTGATAATTATTTATAAATTTCCTTCTTCTTCATTACAATTTTAATATCATAAATGGTTTGAGATTTTAATTTGTATAAACTTTTAAAATTTTGGTTAATAGCGGAACCTAGCAAAAAAAAAAGGTTTATGGAAAATGTATCTTTTATTTTAAAATCCAATGAAAAAGTTTATGTTCGAAAAAAGTTTCAACTCTTCTCCTTAATTAATGAGAAGCAACCCATAAGTTAATAAAGGAAGCTACACTTTTGGTTGGGTTGTTATTGTAAGTGGAAGGAATTGTTAAGTGGCTAAAATAGGAATATGCAACAAAAGATGATCTAATGTTAATGATTAACATAAATAACACAAAAATGATATCCAACTAGTTTAAGAGATTTCCTACCAAGAGTTGCGCCGGCTCTCCTCACCTTCCCTTTTTTTTTACAGCAAATAGTTAATATTATTGGAATACACAGGTACAAGGGATACCTGAACCCTTTTACAGTAGGTATATGAAGCAATTAATAAGGGAAATATTAAATTACAATAGTCTTTATAAAGAGTAAGGACTACCAAATAAAAAAGAAGCAACATAACCCCCCCCTTGTAAAAAATATGGTTGATTTTGAGCACATGTCAAACCACCATATAATAGAGCCTCAGATTGCCATGTATAGACGAAGACACTTCTCATTCTATCACCTGCACCATATGCTGATATTTTTCATGGCTTGTTTGTACCCCTCCTCCCATACCGAAGCAACAAATACTTTTGAAGAGCCATAACTCCAACAAGTTCAAATAGACCCAGCTAGTTGGTGAACACTTCAAACTTTTTCCGAGCACAAGCAAGGTCCAGGGTTGCTGCACCACTGCAAGAAAGAGTACTTAAAGTCTTTTTTAAGTGTTGAGAGCCACCTCCAGCAAGAAAACATGATATTTGTTATGATATTTTCATAGCTAAATTGATGGCCTTCGAAGATACACCTATTTCTATGTCTCCAGATGTTCCAAGTAGTAGCCATCCATACTACACGCCAGGATACCGCATCTGAGTTACACATGATTGGACCCGAAATGAAACTGTAATGTTGTCTTACTTGCTGTGGTAGCGGAGCAGGGCACTTGATCCAAGACAAACACTGTTTCCATATCTTGTCCACCTCAGGGCATGTACAAAAAATATGGTTAGAGGTTTCAGCTACACCATTACAAAATTGACACAAGGACTGTTGTTCGCCGAGTATCCAACCGCCTCTTAAAAAACTTTAAACAAACCAAACGTTATAATGCATGTATAAATAACTTTCATTTCTAAATTCATTTCCATTATTGATTTCACCTTATTTCACATTCACACACTCAAAAAGCAACAACATGCAAAAAAAAAAAAAAAAAAAAAAAAACTTTGAATGTGTAGAAATTAACAATACAAGTTGTGACTATGATTCAAATGCCTAATTCATTTCCCATATACAATGACTCTGCTAACATTCCTTCAAGACATAACTCAAAATTCATGGTTGGAAATCTAACTCATTGACAATAAAGAAAATGTTGAAGAACAAAAAGAATTTAGTTTCTCATGCAATCAGTGGCGGATCTTCTTGGGAACTGGGGGAGCCACGGCTCCCCCAAATTTTTCTAAAAAAAAAATATATATATAT